GAAGAATAGCAGAAATAAGCAGATCTATAGCTAAAGTAACATTAAATAGCTAAAATTAGCATAAATATTCTAAAGTTAGCAGGCACAAGTTGAAATTAGCACCCAGATAGTGAAAATCTTGTAAAAATTTCTAAAAAATAGCAGAAAAAAATGCAAATAAGTACAAAAAGTGATAATTTGTAGTAAAATGGCTAAAACAGCTGAAATTTTCAGTAAAACAGCTAAAAAGTAGCTGCAATTTTTTCAATTAGCATAAGAAACATAAGGAGCACAAGTTTGCTGAACTTAGCTGAAAACAAATTGTAAAAATGTGTGTTTAGCATAGAAAAGCTAACTTTAGCAATTAGCAACTAAACATTAGCGTAAATTTCAGCAAATAGCTGAATATGTGTAAGAAGCATAAATAGCACAAAGTAGCAGAAAAAAARCACAATAAAGTAGAAAAAAGCAGAATAGCAGCAAGAAGCAGAATTTTAGCTGAAATAGCAGAAAAAAGCGTGAAGTAGCTAAAAATTAGCAAAGAAAGTGAGAAAGAGCTGAACCAGAACAGAATGTGTTAAGGTGCTGTAAAGATTTAGAAACATTTTAAAAGATTTTAAGGATGTTGAAAACAGCTTCATTCATTTTCACTGGCAAAAAAAGTAGCTAAAAAAGTGAAATAGTGAAAAATTACAAGAAGCTGAAATACCAGAAGTCATAGCAGCCCTCACATGAACGAGCTGAACGGTTTGATCGATGAATTGTTGAACCAGCACAAAAAAAATTGAGTTCGATGCTAAAAACCGTACGGTAAAAAAAGATGTGAATAGTGTGAATGATTGTGAAGCGTTCACTATGATCAGAACTGGCTCAGAGGCAACACTTGAAGGACTGCTGGGTCTCCAGCTCGCCTCGTTTGGAGCCTCGGCCCAGTGGGACATCAGAACCAGAGCTAGGAGCAAGTGGGGTCGTTTGGAGCAAAGACCGAACCCGCACCAAACCGAGTCGACCCGGGTAGGACCAGGATGACCAGAGAAAGGGTCTGGTCGACCATCATGAACCACTTGAGTGAAACTTGTGAAAATAAGATTGAACTCAATTCAAGAGTTCTTTCTACAAAAAACACTTTGATCCTGAACGATGTTACTAATAATAAACTCCTGCTCCGGTGCTGAAGTTTTGTAAAATCTGGGGAAACAACCAAACTGTGACTCTGTGGTAGACCTGAACGGTTCTGTCGAGTCGCCGACGGTCCGAAGTCCAGGATTATCTCCAGGTTCAACTTTGGATCAACAAACAACAAAACCAACAGATTGTTGGAGCGAAGAACGTCACGTTCCTGTGATTCATCACAACACGTCTGATGGTTGAACCGCTTCTGATGAGTCACTGAAGATTTTCAGAATTTATGAGTTTAAATTTAAGCCCAGAGAGAAAGGTCCAGTTTAAGATGTGAATATTTAGATGAACAGCGCCACCTGTCAGTCAGGAGCTGCAAACAGGTAAAAACTAAAACAACAAACAAAACCTGATCTGATGGAACTCTCAGGCTGTTAAATCATGTGATAAGGTGTGTGTGTGTGTGTGTGTGTGTGTGTGTGTGTGTGTGTGTGTG